TATATATCTCTATATCTATATCTATATATATATATATATATTTATAAATATAAATATATATATATATATATATCTCATATATTATTTATTGTGAATGTAAACTAACACCAATTACAGAACATTAATGCAAACATGAATTTGTACATTAGATGACCCCACCATATTGTAGAAAATAGCTTTTAACAAGTCAATATATTTAAAGAAAAAAACACATCAATTCCATTCTTTGTCTTCTTTTGTCTGACTCAACCCTTTGTTTTACACAATGCATGCAAACTCACACACACCGCACGTTCGATGCAGCTGTGCCATCTAGTGGAAAAAAAACAATTGTGCAACCTTTTGTTAGAAGGAATGGGTTGAACACCTATTTTCTACATGTTAATGCAGTTTATTTAAAATATAAGTTGCATGCCTCAGATATGCCATGCTGGTTTTTTGGTTTGAATTAAAGCCTTTGTGGCACTTCTTTCAGGATCTTACACACATACACAGACAAACAATCTCTTTATTTGTTTTTTGTGATTGAAAATACAAGACAAAACATATATCTTACAAAATTGAACACAGGTATTGCAACCCTGGATCCAGCAGCACAGGTCTTCTGGCAGGCTTGAAGGTATTCATGAGACCCAGAGTTAGGTCGGTGCCCTAGGACATGCCATGGATCATAGATTTAAGGGCCACAAGTGAGCTGCAGTCAGGGTCTCCAAGCAAATCTGATAAACAGCAAAATTACTACAAAATTTGCATGTACCAGTTCTGTCAACTAAGATGACCCCAGAAACCCTGAACACTGCAATATAATGTTAAAATTAGTCAAATTAGTAGAATCAGTGCCTCTGCCTCACCATGTCAAAAATAATTGAATATGACAAGTCAACATTGGGGTATCGTATTGGAAAGTGTTTGGGTTTCAATTTGAAGTTTCATATGATTTTCGCATTCAACCTTTATTGATTGGAATTCCAATAAATTGAGATAAAAGCTCAAACACTTTTACAACTTTCACTTGACACAATCAGCCTCTATCTCATCATTAACGGACCAGTGTCTAGGATTTAGTGGCAACTAGCGGTGTGGTTGCAGAATGCAACTCACTCGAAAACAAAACTGTATATCTGGAGCCAGTGTTTGGTTTGTCCGTTCTGGGGTACTGTAGAAACATTGTGGTTCAACATGACATACTCTGTGGAAGTTGACCTGCAGCATCTGTAGATATAAAAGACTCATTCTGAGGTAACGAAAACACAACGATTCTTATTTTCGGGTGACACTAAAACTTAACTAAAACTTTCTGCTAGCAGAGTCTCCTAAACGTTATAAACTTGACCTTTAATACTTTATTTGTCCAAATCACCAAGCAGTTGCCTTCTTACATACATATATATTTTAAATTTTCTTAAAACTGTGGCTGAAAGACAGACTGAGTAAGCAACTCTTGTGTGGCTCGCTGAGCACACGCATCATCAAAATCAACATGCTGTGTGAGCTGAGACTTTTAATAGAGTAAGTCTGGTAAGGGATCACAGAAAGCCACAGAAACATGGGGGGAGAGGGCTGAGTGTTGCCATGGTGATGTTTAGTGATGTGGCTGATGTTGGGTAACTTTAGAATAGTGACGAGGGAAGGTGGCGGTTGCGTGTGGTGGAATATTTGTGTCCATATGTCGTCTTGTGTGTGAGTTACAATCAGACTCTTCCAGAAAACACACCAGTCAAGATGCCAACCAGCAAACTCTTAACAGCCAATGACGTGCATCAGTTTTCCTTCCATTCTCTAGTAAATGGAGGAATTTACTAGTGTGTGTTTTTGTAACAGCGACCTCAGCGTCATCCATGGTCATGAGCATTGGCTTGAACACTGATTACAGACCTTTTTGCTAAGTCAGCCACTTGATCATTGGCTGTGTTCAAATTTCCCACCAACCTTGCCCCTGTTCTTGCACCGCAGCCTCGTAGAACACAGCTTGAGAGTCACAGACAAGCGCTGACATCACCACATCTGGCTCTCATTTTCCAGGGTTCCCTCTGGAGCAGATATGAAGATCTGAATATGAGAGCAAAAGACAAAACACTGTTTCACAGTTGGGAAAAGCACAATGTGAGTCCACTGTGGTTCTTCATGGACCATATAATGATCGTGACATGATAAAAGCTGAATAATGTGAAGAATTTAGATTCATCTTGCTGATGCTTGAAGAATATGATGCAGGAGTGGGAAGCTTTAAATGTCAGAGAGGGTGCATGACTTGATCAAACAAGAATGTATTTCCACAGCTTCAAAGCTTTCAAGGATACAACAACACACGTACACACACAAGAACGCACATGCCATGGACAACAGTCGATTAACTGGTAATACCAAATGTACAAAGGACGTCCATTGATCTCCAAGTGTGTCTCATCTACATGTTGTTGGTCCAGACCTCCCCAAGGTCTGCTCCATAAACAAACCTCTGACCTCCCACACACACATTCATACAGCTCTAAATCAAGGCCTCTCAAAGCAAAGTTTATGAGTACTTTATCATCCTGACACCATGGTCTAATTTAAGGGCTATTTTGTATGGGAAAGCAGACATGGACAGAGATTTGTGGTCTCTTTTTTATTTCCGCATAACCCTGCCATTTGTTTATGCTTGTCATGTTTTACCGAAGCGAGGCAACCTCGAAACAATGAGGAAGTCAAAAACGTATGTTTATTCAGTTTGAATGAGTAAGAGGTAGCCAAAGAGAAAATAGAAACAAGCTGGTATTTGGAAAACAGTGTTTTTCAGTACCTAGTGTTTGTGTTTACAGAGGTAAGAATGTAATATAAAATTGCACACAGCACACGGATGGACACAGAGACTTGCACACACAAATGCACTCAGTAACTCTCAAGGGGAATATATCTCAGGGTTGTTGTGAAGGCGCATAGCTGAGCAATGACCTCACCTGGAAGCCTGCTGAGAAGACACCCAGATTCACAGAGAATGTGTAGACCTTTCTCTCTCACTCACTCATGCACACTCACACATGCACAGGCAAAGGATATGTTTGACCAGCATGTGCATGTGTGCGCTCATGTATTTCTTTCTCTTTCTCTTGCCTTTGTTTCCAGCTTTGCCACATATCTCTGCAGTTTCCTTCCCTCTCATCCCGCCTGTCTGGCACCTCATTTGACCTCAATTGTCTCCCAAAGCTAAGCCATGAAAGACCAGCTGCTGGAATGTTTACAAGTTCAACTGTCAGATAAATGTGTGTACACTAACGATGTATCACTTGTGACTAATTTCTACTCAGTTGTATCATGGCGACTAGTGAGCCTCTCCCACATCTACTTCATTATCTACCTCCAGTAAGCAATAACATGACTCCTCCACTGAGCTCAGCATTATCACAACAGGAGGAGGTGAGACTAAGATGCTAAAGTGTCTTCAGTCTGCTCAAGTAAAATGTTGTAACATGTTTTCGCTCATTGAAACAAGTAATATAGCTAGTTGAAACTGACATTATTGAAATTATTTGTGTCCTGCACATACAAATGCCCTGCCCACATGGATATATAAGACACCAGAAATACAGTACATTTGCAGCTGTTAAACATTTGTCAGACAAGAACATAACTTCTTACATATAACATTATGTTGGAAACATTTGTCTTCAGTTCCAAGAAGACACAGAAGATCTGCCATAAAAAAGTTTCCCTTCCTAAAGTTTGTTTCCAGAAAAAACAACAACATGTATCCAGAAAAACCATTACAACATTTACTTTTTACTGCTATAACTGACTAATAATCATTCTTTGTTGTTGCTTACACATGGCTAATGCTCGATGATGGGTGCTCCATGAGATAAAAAAATAGTATGTACAGCATGGCCTAACTAGTGAAATACAGCTGGCACAAATGGCACTTAAAAGGTTGGGCACATTCCAGCTGCTCATTCTGTTAAAACAGTACAATGTAATTGGAAAGGCTATATTTATGACAACTAGAGCAGAAGATTACAACCATTGCAACTGTTCATACACATGCAAATATGACAGCACATGCTCACACATAGGTAGGTAGGTCCTGGCCTCTCAAAGCATGCAGAGAGGAGCAATGGAAAACATAATATTAGTGAAATGTAGGACAACAGGAGGACAAACCTCAAGCTGTGACCCCTGAACCCAAACACATCTCTGACCCATCAGGTCTGAGCACACATAAACCCGCCACGCAAGCCTCAATATGCGCTGGGAAAACAGGATTTGGACTAATCCATGCCTACAAGGAAGTGGTTTGTTTTGTGGCAGAAGTTTATTTTGTCAATTCAGAAGTAGATTATGTTTTGTATGTTATGCAACGCCACACATCTGTAGATGGTACAACAGTAACAGACCTGTTAAAATCAATGAATTATCTAAGAGACTTGTTCATAAATGGATTCAGAAGTTAAGAGTGCTCTGAGAGACTACAAGAGGATGTTGCGTGTGAGTGGACCACTCAACACTTCGTCACCCACACTCAGTTGGTTTAGACTATGTTCGGAAGGCAGGAAGCTGAACAAAAAGTGTGTGACAATTAGAGAAGGAGTTTCAGTAAATGAGGAGAAAATCCCCATTTGCGCACACACACACACAAACACACACACACACCTACACACACATAGGTCCAAATCCCCACTGGACATACAATCATTCCCACATTTAGACCCCATCCCCAACAACAGCTGCCACCGCACCCCAGCAGAGGAAATGCCAAAGTCCTCTGAAGTGGAGCATAACAGCAGTGCAGTTCACATCCAGAGTGAAGAGCTGAGAGGCTGAAAGGGCAGGAGAGCCTCTAATAGCAGGAAGTTGTAAGAATAATAGCGGTATGGGGATGTCATGCCCCCTGTCCCTCTGGCATGTAAGCTACGGCCAAAACAGCAAATTATATGTGTGCTAAATGCTTGCTTAGACAACAAATGTAACATTTTTTACACAACTTACAGTTGTCTGGCTTTACCAGATGTGGGCTTTTTATGGAGAAATTTATACTTTTCCAAACAAGAAGAGATTTCATTATATTTACTTTTTTAAACTGTGGCAATGAGATATCCTTAATTTCAACATGTCTTGTTCTCCTATAATCTAAATATTGAAAATGTTAAATTATTTAAAAAACTGCTTTGCATTTGCAGTGTATACCTTGTTTCCATGACTCTGGCATAATTAAAAAACTGCACTATGACAGTGCAAAATGTACCCAAAGAAGAGAAATACAATGACAAATATTTGCCTTAAAAGGAAGTGGTTATTTTCATGACTGATTGTGTTGGTTGACTGTGTCAATCGAATATTCACCAGAGGATTACTCAGCCAATGTGATCTGTTTCCAGATTTTATTTTAGCAATGAAAAGCATGGTAGGTCATCTGAAATTCCACAAGGTCAAATCCAGTCTAAGCTAACATCAGGAAATAAAAACCTGTGACTTTTATCCTCTGCATCTGTCCTGGATTATCTAAGAAGGACTGCTAAGTAAATTACAGAGTTTAGGAACATTCCCATAATCCAAGATCTTAACCCCCTGTGCCACTGACCCACAGTCAAATACCAGTGCATGAGTGTGTATGTGTTCTTGTGACTGTGTGTGTTTGCACGACTTGAGGGAGTTCACAGCTTGTGCGTGTGAGTCTTTGCATCAGTGCATGGCAGTGTTTGTGTGTGTGTGTGTGATCGTGTGGTCAGTCAGTGTGTGTGTGTGTCAGTGTTGGGCAGCCACTGAACAGACCCCCAGCCGTTCTTAAACACTGAAACAGCCTCCCTGCTCTTTTTTATTTGCTGCCTGCTTCAAACTCAGTTCCCATGAAATTGGCCCTTCGTTGGCTCGTTCAGATTGCATGCACTGTAAATGGCTTCTCTGGAGTCTGCCAAGGGCCAGTGGGGGCCAATTCAATGACAAAAAAGAGACAAAGAGAGACTGACAGATCCAAAGCTGCCGCCATGCCCCTGTAGCCCCTTGAAACCACATCAACAATTCCTATTGTGGAATTTTATCAAAGGAAAGCATAGCCATCACAATTGTTTGAAAAAATAACAATAATTTACTAAATAAATAATTTTATTGGATTGTTCCATGCTGTTGACCCTTGGCTATCATGCATTTGCTAGGAGTATTATGTAAATAGTGGTGATGTGGTGCAATAAGTCCAAATGCTTAACACAGCAAAATATCCGTAATGAACAGTGTACGGCAATTTAAGGGCAAATTGCCTTATAGAAGACAAAGGTTACCAGGTGAATATCAGAATAAGGACTTATGAGACTGTTACGATCTGTACGTGTTGCTGAGTGGTTGCGTTTCTTCCAAGTGACCCAGCTAGTGAAGTCATTATGCTTTCCACTCTCTCAACGGGAGGTGGGGCTTTTTAGTGAAAACTACTTCTACCCTGCTGCACAAAGACCAGTCGCAGTCTCCTCCACGCTGTGAGTGCGCAGCGCCTGCACAGATCGCTCCAATTTGGACCTTAAGCCTTACATTGCATGAACCTGCAAACCTTTACTGCTGTTTTCTCGGCCGTGAACGACCCTCGGTGTTCCGCTGTGGCTGTTTTACAGCAGATACTCCGACCCCGAAAACCATCGGGACCAGTGAAGAGAGAAGCTGCGGGAGTGGTCTGGAAACTTTTGCCATCATGAGCACGCGAACGGTCAACCTTGATACCTACAGCTTGTCGCTGCTTACTGCCAAAGAGGACATCCTCAACCCCCGTTCCTCCACAAACTGGTAACACATAGTGCTCTTGAACAAAATTGCATCTGCCTGTAGCAGAATCCTGTTTGTCCGCATCATAACACATGAGATTAAATGTCAACTTTATTATTCTGCGTCATTCTAATGAGAAAATTTCGTGGACAAATAGAATCAGTAACTTTCATGGAACTTTTATGTTCTCCATCTTGTTTCACTAAGCGAGTCGTAGGCGTTTAAGCATAACCAGGTTGGCCGTTGCGTAAGCAGCGGCTTGATTTCAATTAATCCAATGAGGGATACCGAGGTGGCAAGCACAGGGATAGCACGCAACCTGTACCAGTAATACCAAATGCATGCAGGCTGGTTTAGTAGAACAGGGATGCATTGTGTTTGCCTTCTCTCGGAGTGCTGATGAGGTGAGGATTGCCGCCCATTACGCACGCCAGGCGGCTGGTGCGGAGCGCAGCACCTGGCCGGCGGCCCGCAGCCCTCACCCTGGCCTTGCGCTCCGTGACTTTGCTATTCTCCCTCAGGAGCTGTGGGGCTTCATTCTTTGTGCTGAGGATCATGTTTCTGCTCATGTGCTGATCTCTTGACAGGGGTTATCTTTCAGGGAGAGGCTCTTTCATTTGACAGACAGCATAGTAGGCATGAATGAGTGCCATCCACTCGACTAACCAATAGCCCAATCAATATGTTGAACACTAACTACGATGTGTGCAATAAATACATGGTCTTGAAACATTAATACAGAACCAGTATTCAGACTACAATTCAAGTATAAGTGTTTTACCAGAAGATGTGTTCTGGCTCTAAATTTCCTCTAGATGATTCTTTTACACATGAAATAATTTATTTAATTCATTCTGCCCAGGCATATGTGCGACCACATGTAACCTGACCACCTGACACTTGGCTCACTCTGTCCTTTTGCCAGTGTTGGGTCTGTCACTATGGTGAACTATCCATCTTTTCCAAACAAAAGCAATCTCCAACTCTATCTGCCTGTCTCTTCCCCTTTCTCCAGTTTCTTCTTTTCTTATGCTGTGTGTGTGGTATTGTCATCTCCAGCTACAGGCATGTTGTTACTGGCTATACTCAGCTGGTACAGAGAGAATTAGATATACGCTTTCTGCGTATGCACTCACGTTGATGAAGAGTTTAGGGAAGTAGGCCAGGGCCCACGCGTGTTCTCATGTGGAAGTGGATGACTGATTCTGTCCATCTCCGTTTCTTCTTCTGCCTTACATCTCTCTCTGCCACATGGTATCCCTGCCCACTTTCTTCTTACCTTCTTCCCGCCTTCTCGTGATGCCATGCAGACTTGAGGATATGAGATTCAGAACACTATGAGTTAAACTTAACAAGTTGAAATCTAACATCTTCATGAATGGGATGGAAAGAAATTCCCCACCCAGGCAGAACATGCTCAGTTTCCATTCTTTCTTGCATTTGGAAAATCTCTAAAAGTTTCCATGTTCAGTATTACTATGGAGCTTTTGTCCTATGGCAACACCTCCATATTGATTATTCACGGACACTTCTCATTGGAGAGCATTTTCCTAATGTTTCAGTGAACAACAGATCTAGATTGTGTCTCTGCCAACCCACTGCCTGTCAAACAATCATATAAATGCATGTGTTTGGTTATGCTTATCAGAGAATAAAAAGGAAAAGAGATAAAGAGAGAAAACCCCCAGCATTCATTGAACCCACTTTAGAAGGCTAAATAACTCTGGTGTGACTGAAAAGAGAGGTGGGAGGGGGACATGATGATGTCATGATTCCCACTGTCAAACCACAGAAACACACACCCACCTTGCGTGTGTGTGTTGAAGGGATTTAATGTGCGTGCATGTGAGTTTGCATGTGAATGTATTTGTTTCTGGATGTGCATATGCATCCTGCGGAGACTATTAAAGTGATTCGGGTGTTGAGAAGTTTGAGAGGGGTAGGAGGAGGCGGTTTCTGTCGAGCGATCCCGCCCCCACTGTGTGGCCTTGAGGTCCCTGTGTGTATTATCTAATGACCTTGTGTCCTGAATGGGAAACAGACCCTTGGTGGGTGAGACTCTGAAGAAAAGAGGAGCAATTTCAATGCATCCTTCATTCAGACCTCTCTGCTCAACACACAGCCTTGGAGGTCTCTCCTCAGTCTCCCAAACCACAAGGACTACAAAGTGTCCCACTCGTAGGCTGGAAACCTGCACTGCCTGCATGTGTTTTGTGTTTGTGTGTGCTTTGAGAGACAGAAAGAAAGAGAAACAGTGAAAATGCATGTTCCCAAGGACATTATCTAATCCTCTGAACAGGAAATACTTCTAATTCTTAGCAGCGGAAATCCTTATTTATGTCCAGTTTACACCAAAATAAATGATGGAAATCAACAGGTAGGTTTATATTGCTTTTCATTCCAGCACAAATTCCTGTCTTTTTTTAATTTTTTACACTCAATATAATACCTCAGTCAGTGGTTTGTTCTGCACATTTTCTACTTTAATAGGAGAGTGTAAATAGGAGCAACTCTCCAAAGCAGCATGCCTTACCAGAAGTGTCTCCCTGCAAGTATCAAATAGAGCACAATACCAGCTTAGCCGAGCATGTAAAAAAGGTAAAAAAATCAGTTTAGAAAAATGTTGACACCAGCCTGGCAAAGCATATCAGATGGGAATTCCTATTACGCTGTGGAGCAGTTGGACCTCTATTCATCAGAATTGGGTGTGGGCTATATCTCGACATCTGTGGGCTCTGGTGACTTTGAACACACCTTCATCATAGACTTCTTTCTTGCCGTCCACACTTTGATGCTGTTTGCTCGTGTTAAGCGTTTCACTATGTTCACTCGCAGGGATTATTACAGTCAGCAGGCAGTGACACATAAAGTAAATATCTGATTTCATTGTAGTAACAGAGTGATTTAGTTTCAATGGAGTATTCAGAGACCAATCAATCTTGTCTTCATTCAGCTTGTGTTGAAAGTCTAGTTAAATCAGATATTTTGTATGTATGAATGTATTGGAGCCATATTTCCATAAAAAAAACAAGCTGTGACATTACACATTATATTATTAATTACAAATAAATGAATCCTGGTGTTATTTTTGGCCTAGAGTTTACTTTACCAGGTAAAGACAGTTCCTCATTGTTTTGAAAATGTAAGAATTTCCCACGAAGTTAAGAAGAACATACCTCTGAAATTTTTTGGCAGAAGGGTAGCTGCAAAGTCATCTTGGCTATGGTCATGGACCTGCAGTTCCAGTTTCAGTTTTTAAATAAATAATACATTAAATCACCTGTGACAATACTTTGTTTTTTTAAGGGCCTCTACTTTATTTCAGTAACACTTTATAAATGGTGTCCAAAATGCAGTTGTAATAAAACGTGTCATTTAATCTACTGAATTCATTTATCTTTTCTTTGACTTTGACAGTCTCTAGGATACTTCAGTAATCAATCTTAGCCATTTTCACGTGAGAAGCAACTCTCTGGGCCTCTGATCTTTTGAGAAGGGACACTCCTGTTGATGATAAATGGAGGAGCCTTTATTTCAGCATAGGCCCGGGGTGTTTGTGTTGCTGCTACTTGCCAGAATTTCCACAGGCTCATGCATGATTAACCAAGACGTGGAGAGTTCCTGGGTCTAACGTTACGAGCTACATGGAATACACCTGTGGGTGTGGGGAGAGTATGGGAGGATGCAGGGCTGTCATTGTGTGTGGATGCACATGCTTAAGCGCTTCTGCTGCCTTTGTATAGGTAGGCGTACAGTATTTCCTGACTCCAGAGGGAGATTATATATGCAAGTACAGCAAGTCAGTTATCTTGTTTGTAAAGATAAACACTCATTAGCATCACACTGTTATCAAGACTTTACTCCCTGCCTGAACTTCCTTGCACAAGTTCTGCTTTTTTTTCAGTTCCTTAATTATCCACAAAAACCCAACTGTCAAAAAGAGACTGAATGGCATTTTAATGCTAGCTGTTGACACATGAGCTTGTGTGTAGCTTTCTACTTTGAAATAAATCTTTCTGGTGACCTGACTGTGGAATCCCAAAGGAAGAAAACAAGCAGTCTGGTTGGTTTCCTCTGGCTGTTCAGGACAAGGCTTCAAAGGTCTCGCACAGCGTTGTAATCAGGCTGAATGATAACAGGACACGTTTTATCGATTTTTGATATAAATAGTGGTATACTGTAAATAGAAAGTCAAAGGGCAGTTACACTGGACCAATGCCCAGTCCTCTCTCTTTCTTCCTTTCTCTCTGTCACCCTGCCTCTGTCTCTATCTCTGCTTCTTGTATAATACTTTGAAGTAGCTGTTTGTGTGACATCTCCATTGATTTCCAAAGAAGCATGCATGCTATTGTTTATCACACTATGACAAAGGATTCAGGATTAGACCGTAATATTACATAATATTACATATTAAGGTCACACCACAGTTGCTAGAGCTAGCAGGACGGGAATTTGGCCTGACTAGAGGGGCTTTAATACTGGATAGCTGGATACTGGGGCACACTTGGGCTGACCAGGTCACTATTTGGGCCCTTCAAGTGCTACAGGTCTGACATAAGGGCAAAAAATAAGCACACAAGTGACCCATTAGGACACAAACATATTCTGATTACATAAAGAGAAAAAGCTTTTGCATGCCACCAACATAGTTCCCATTTCAAAGATACAATGTTTGCGCCTGACAACAGCACTGGGTTGATTGTGCCCTCTGCAAAAGAGTTTCCTCAGCTTAACGTAGCTGCTTGTGTGAGCATGTCTGTGGGTGGCTTGTTAGAAGATGATGACAATGATGGCTGTAATGGCTGTTATATCTCTGTTTAGATGAACTTAGAGAATAATTCTAACAATAATCACTAAACAACTGCTTACGACTCCTTTAAACATTATTTAGATTCATCTGGGTCTAAGATGAAGCTGCAGTGTAATAGTAGGTCTCAGGCATGATAAGACATGACTGCAGAAGGTTATACTGTATGCGTGTATTGTGTGTGTGTGTGTCCTTGTATGTTTGGGTTCCTTAG